GAGTTGCCATTCGACGTTGAAAGTTCTTTTTAGAAGTTAATGTCAAGAGGGATAGCCGAAAACACAATAAGCAAGATCTTCGTCGATACCAGTAACACGTTACAGGCAATCTGCGGGTGGTCGCACTGCCAGAAGACAAGAGAGAGTTTTATAAGTGGCCCTGAGTGGTGTATGAAAAAAAATGCAGATGTTGCTTTAAGAATATACGAAAAGAAACGCGACCTTCAATACACTTTCCCTTGAAGCTTTTGCTTCCCAAAAAGTATTGACCATGAAAGAGTGGGGATCGACCTATTACGCCACATCGATCCTAACGAGGGGGGATCAATTCAATAATATCAGTAGTCCTTTCCGAACGGAATCCTTTGCATTCTTCGAGCAAATCAAGTTCATGTTCGGAAAACTAAGTTTTAGTGTACTTAGCGATTACGTAGTGATTATTTAGTAGTGTCGCGTATATCGTTGTTATAAATAGTGCAAATTAATTATTGTAGGTTTTAGTCATTAGTGTAGGTTTTATTAAACATTGTAGGTTTTATTAATTCTTGCAGGTTTCATTAAATATTGTAGATTTGATTAATTATTGCAGGTTTTATTAAATATTGTAGGCTTTATTAATTATTGTAGGTTAAAAATTAGTATAAATAGTTGTTATAAATTAATTAGTGTAGGTTAAAAATTAGTGTTAAATAGTTATAAATTAATTATTTTGAGTGTTAGTTTTGTGTAACGTGTAGTGTGTTAAACGCAACCGACAAACCGCTCGCGGATCTAATTAATCGCACAGTGTGTGTGAACATTTTTCGTGGACTGGACAATCGTGCAGTGTGTGTGGACACTTTTCGCGGACTTCTGTGGGGTACGTGCATGTGCGGATTAATTTCATGGATACTCGTGGACAGGACTATTGTTGTACGTGACAACTAGAGGGGGCATTAACCCTCTCTACTCGATAATATTCGTAAGAAGATATTTACATTTCTTGCGAATTTTATCGAGTAATCAGAGTTAATGCGATACAAATGGATTCGACTCAAATACCGCGGGCACAAGTTATCGACATCTTCTACGAGGTAAGTAAACAGCTCTTCTACCGACTGTTCCTGCACGTCGTTGAGTCTTTAAAGTGACTGTACGCCCCTGTTGAGCCGTGATCCGCTGACACTCCGTGCGCGCGGATTGCCATGATTTCGGTCAATCTTTAAACGCTTATAACTAACAAACGAAGCATTTTTCGCAATTTCGTTATTCTTGATTTTAGTCTTATTTTGCCTCAAAAAAACACCCCTTAAATTGTTTCCCACTAGTAGTCGAACACCCTGTATATATGATTACATAGGTGTGAGATTCCAAAAATGGTATTTTCAACTATTGAACAAGTTTTCCTGCAGCATCTCCATTTACCATCTATCTATGTTATGTTTGACATAATTTAACCTTCTTTAATATATAAGAAATACACATATTTGCTTTAGTGTACTTCTTGCACATGAAACTTTTACATGCCTCACATTTGGTTTTTGAATAATAAGAGTTGGGTATTATTCAAAGATTTTGAAATAAACTTGAAATGTCTTAGATCATTAGATGATTAAATTCTTTTTAGTCTTCATGTAATAATGGACTTCGACTCCAATATCGTCCATTATAGAAATTCGCTTCTATGTTCAATGACAACTCCGAAATGATTTAGTCAAAATCCCAAATTTATTTTCAGATTTTTTACAAATAATTTTTCATGCAACCTTCCTAATCTTTTCTTCATGTGTACCGTTAGTATATTATCTCCAGGTTGAAAGAAAGAGAGGAAGCGAAAATAACGACGCGTCGCTATCTGAAATGCAAGATAATTTGTTACAAAAGGAATTTTTACAAAAAGAAGTTACAACTTCTTCTAGAAAGAGCTTTAGAAGCTGTAAATATTCCGTGATCGTACCATAAATCAATGTTGCAGACAACTAGTAGTAGCACCGCATCCAGCAAAATGCAGAATACGTAGCATGGTTTCACTTTCGTTCAATTTAGAGACACTTCCAAATTGTATTTGAACCTAAACAAAATGTCATATGATGTAAAAATGTCCGCTGAAGGAATACATATGGGTGCTAGGTAGATTTCGTCACAGTAAAATGTTTTTTTTCGCTATAAACTAATCTCCGTGTATTCAATACACGTACGCGCCGGCCGGAGGGTTGTCATGTTAAATTTAATTGTGTTATAGTTGTCCTTTTGAAGTAAATATTCGTTGAAGAAATTTATTGTGTATTAAAAGTTTAAACATCAAGAAGAGCCTTCTTTTCATTCCGGATAGATTTGATAAAGAAGAAATTCTTTTATCCTTGTGGCATTTGATCCCACACTAGTGTCACCAGTGTCTCCATCTTGCAGTTGTGAACGGAACGCAGAGGTGGATTGACACAATTGGCACAACGCGAACGTAGCCCTGGGGATTTGGTTTGGAAACGAGCGAATCGGTATTTGGTGCATCGTGCATCAGAAACGATCTCAAAATGAAAGTTCCCAGTTCCCTCGTGATATCTTCCGCGAAAACCTTGTGTACTGCATTTTAAACGTGGCTTAATCTCCAAACGCAACAATAATTGGCATGTGACATTATGCTATAGTTGTAACCGTGTCGAGAACAACGAAGCTGAAACGCGTATCAGATCTTTGTTTATTATTTGCTAGCTGAAAAACTACCCAAATTGTATAGAAGTTTGATAAACCTTATCAATCATACGTCGTGAATCCTCACAATCATCATACAGTGAGTGTCAATGATGTTTGTATTATATTATCCTTCGTCTGTGGATTGACCAATTTTTAACAACACCTTCACACGTTTGAGTGCAAACATGAATGTACATATACATATCAAAAATACTCTGTTCCTTATTTGGCTTACAGAAGCGTGTTTATATATAAAGACATTCCTCTTCTTGCTGTCTTTCTATTCGTTCCTGGAAAAGTTACACGAATGTTAATGACTTCATACTCAAGTTTCTCACACTTCAGCTTTGTTGTGTGAAAGTTTCTTTTATATATATTTCTCATTTTGTACAGTGTTAATGTATTTCAGTGCTAGAATCTTGTGCTAATATTGCGTTGATACAGTTCATATAATATTCCGATTCGAATATAATTGATATTGAGATTTGAAAGTATGCAAATATGTATGTAACATTTTTATTTGTGAACAACACTTTGTATTATTTAAATAGTTTGTGTCAGGGGATATGAGTGAACAATATTCATATGTTTCAGCATTCTGTTATTAAGTGCATTATTATATGTAAAGCTGTGAAAAATAAAAATCTAAGTAGTTATAATCATAATTTCAAAATGAGAGAATTGATTTTATCGAAACGTATGTTGTCAGTATATAATTGAAATTTGAGTTTCTTCTAAAACTTATTTTTCTTGCCCAAATTATTTGAGGTATTTTTAGAACTTCTTCTTCTAGAATAACAAGATGTCAAGAACTAAGTACTAGGATTTATATTTTATGCAAAGAGTTTTCAATACTTTATTTTAAAATACCAATTATCTATCATGTATTAAATTTTCATTAATGGAAAAGAATGTTAAAAAATCGATATATTTTAATTATCATAGTTCATATTATAGGGATAACTGCAAGTATGAATTAGTTGAGAACTTTAAATACAAAATTAATTGATTCGTAGAATATATGGACATCAAAATAGTTTTATTAAATGGAAAGCAGTTACTCTTAAGGTGTCTTATTTTTCCATTCGGCTTTCCAGATAATTGTTTATACATAGAAAAATACAGTAAAAATTAAAAAGTTATATACATACCATGTGTATTTCAGTTATGTTTGCTCAACTATCCTGTTTCATATCTCATGTATCATCAAATAAGTCATTACAAGTTTAATTATGTACATTATATCAGTCAATTTTTTTGGAGCATCATTATAACTCTATTGTAAATAATGTCTATCTGATTGAATGTGTACCCTAACTAAACTATTTTGTACATACAATATGTTATATACATTGTATATGTAAATGTGGATAATTGGCTACATTTTACACTTTTGATGTAAGTACATTTTCTTATTTATTTTGTATTCTATATTTACAGGTGTCTACTCAGTAACAGTAGGTAATAAAGTAACGATAGTCTTGGTAACACAACATATACATCATCATATGCACAAAACTAAATAAACTTCTTTTTAATTAATGAGAAGAATGTTACAATATGTCTAGCACATATGTATAGCAAATATGTCTAGACTAGTATACCAGATTATCAACAAACTTGTGGAAGTTTACTTAAATTACATCTATAACTTTTACATGTTAAATCTTCTTATAATTAATAACAAGTTTAATCTTCTTATAATTTCTTTCTAATGAAAAAAATCAAGTTTATTAAACATTAGCAACTATTATACTTTCACATTTCTATTCCAGTGTTTATACTTACTGTACTAATTCTCTTTTGATCTATTGTGTGTATCTTACTGATTGTATCAAGATTTATAATAGATTTAATAATTACAAGTACATATAGATATATTTTTCAAGTTATTCAAAATTAGTATCTTCTATTTTGTACATAATAACTGAATCTTAATTATTTTTTAGATAAATTATAAAATCAGGAGATACCTCTATTTTTATAAAAAGATGGATATGTCATCCTATTTAACCCACAGGTTTAAATAGGACTTCGACATATACTGGTCTTCTTATGAAATGACGCATGTAAACAGCTGTACGGTTTAATTAGTTTTTGTAGGCTGGAATTGTACATGAAATTTTTGAAATCCTAGGTCCAAATGGATCCAAACATTGCCATCCAAGGGTTAACAGCTCTTCAACTGTTTGTCGAAAATTTCACAACAGACACCTAGAAATTTGATGAACAAGGAAGTGTAGACAAATAAAGAATGTGTGTTTTGATTGCAGGAATCGAAGATTAGGGGGCCTAGTACGGGCACGTTTGAGAGTTGTGGTGGTTGGTGAATGGTGTTGCAGATAGACTCGGTGTGGGGTTGGGCGTCACCCCCGCTGCGCCTCCAGCTAGGGGGGTCGAGGGGCGCCTCGGGGAGAGCGACCGCGGGCGCCCCATCCTCACAGAGGATGGGTGAAATGGTCGTGGAACGCGCGCCTTCCCCAGCCCGCCTCAGCCATACCTCCGAGAAGCATCCTCGTGCTACGCTCACGGAACTTAATGTCCTACGTCGGCATCGAGAACTTTGCGATGTCGTGCTCAATGTCGGCTCTAGGAAAATATTCGCGCACCGCGTTATTCTCTCAGCGTGTAGTCCTTACTTCAGGTAAACCATATCTACCCATAATTAGAAAATACTCTGTAGCCCGATTCAATTTATCACTAACACCAACTCATCCTCCACAGAGCAATGTTTACTGGGGAGTTGGCGGAATCTCGACAAACTGAAGTTACAATACGCGATATAGATGAAATGGCAATGGAATTATTGATAGATTTCTGTTACACTTCTCACATCATCGTTGAAGAAGCAAATGTTCAAACTCTCCTTCCAGCAGCGTGCCTTCTTCAGCTAGCAGAAATTCAAGATATATGTTGCGAGTTTCTCAAACGCCAACTCGACCCTTCCAATTGTCTAGGTATACGAGCGTTTGCGGATACACATTCTTGTCGGGAACTGTTACGAATCGCAGATAAGTTCACGCAACATAATTTTCAAGAAGTATGTTTTCAGGGTCCTTCACGGTATTGTTTACTGTTCTGTTTAGCTTTGATTAATGTCATATTTGTGTTCACTCTCGAATAGGTAATGGAAAGCGAAGAATTTTTGTTATTACCTGTTGGCCAATTAGTAGATATTATTTCCTCAGATGAACTAAATGTACGAACGGAGGAACAAGTATTTAGCGCGGTTATGAATTGGGTTAAATACAATGTTACTGAGAGAAGGCAGCATCTGGCACAAGTTCTTCAACATGTACGATTACCCCTCCTTAGTCCAAAATTTTTAGTTGGGACCGTGGGATCCGATCTTTTAGTACGATCTGACGATGCATGTAGAGATTTGGTGGACGAAGCAAAAAATTATTTGCTACTTCCTCAAGAAAGACCGTTAATGCAAGGTCCTCGAACACGTCCTAGAAAACCAACTAGACGCGGCGAAGTATTATTTGCCGTTGGCGGATGGTGTTCCGGCGACGCAATAGCCAGCGTTGAAAGATTTGATCCTAACACCGCTGATTGGAAAATGGTCGCTCCGATGAGTAAAAGAAGATGCGGTGTTGGAGTAGCAGTACTGAATGACTTGTTGTATGCAGTAGGCGGTCATGATGGACAAAGTTATTTAAATAGCATCGAACGATACGATCCACAGACGAACCAGTGGTCTTGCGACGTGGCCCCTACAACATCTTGCAGAACTAGTGTAGGTGTCGCAGTGTTGGATGGTTTTCTTTACGCCGTAGGTGGTCAGGATGGTGTCCAATGTTTAAATCACGTCGAAAGGTATGTTCCTTTTTTCCAATGAATTTCTTAATTCTCTTTTGCTTTACACATTGGACAAATCTTGGTACATGTAACTCAAAGCTTGAACAAGCATGTACAACATGTGACACGGAATGATGACAGATATTTATATTTGGTGATTTAAGTGTGTTGAAAAGAGAAGCTAACATGAATTCTACCATTTATGTGTTGCTAGGTCTAATTCTGTGTTGCATATTGCTTGTACTGTGTTACAAAGAAAGAAAACAAACGATAATTTTGTACAGGTACGACCCTAAGGAGAATAAATGGTCTAAAGTATCGCCAATGACCACCAGAAGACTTGGAGTTGCTGTTGCTGTGTTAGGCGGTTATTTATATGCCATCGGCGGGTCTGATGGCCAGTCGCCCTTAAACACGGTAGAAAGATACGATCCAAGACAAAATAAATGGTCTCAAATATCGCCTATGTCTACGAGACGTAAGCATTTAGGCTGTGCTGTATTTAATAATCTAATTTACGCCGTTGGAGGCCGAGATGACTGTATGGAACTCTCGAGTGCAGAACGGTATAATCCTCACACAAATTCTTGGAGTCCGATAGTTGCTATGACATCAAGAAGAAGCGGAGTAAGTTAACATATATAATTATAAGATTACTATAACATTATAGTGTTAAATCTTATAGAACTATATAACAACTGAAAATCTACTTAAATCAGGTAGTACACATATTTCAGTTGATTCGTGTTTTCGTTGTCAATTTGTATAAATCCTCTTTAATATAAGTCTATAATGGCCTGTATGGTTAAATATTGTTCTTTCCGAACCTTTAACCGGATAAAATTCAATTTTTTGTATTATATTACAGGTAGGATTGGCGGTAGTGAATGGTTTACTATACGCCGTAGGTGGATTCGATGGAACTGCCTATTTGAAAACAATAGAAGTGTACGATTCGGAACAAAATCAATGGAAACTATGTGGTTGTATGAATTATAGAAGATTAGGTGGAGGAGTAGGAGTAATGCGGGCCCCACAAACCGAAAACTACATTTGGTAGCTCAGGCCCCCCTCTTCAGCCCAAGTGGCTGAAACTCCATTAACTCCTCTTACACCGGTAACTCCTCCCGCTCCTGTATCGGTTCCTGTTGTTATAACTAATACAAGAAAACGCTACCGCCGATCGATGAGCATTATATAATACATGCATTTTGAAAGACTGCCTTTCTAAAGATAAAGCCATTTCTATTGTAAAATCGGTTGCATTCTGTTTAGCTTATCATGATGCAAGATAATTACTGTGTACTAAATATGGATGTATATTTTCCAGTTTGTGTAGAAAATTTATCCTTCGATAGTGTTTACACTGCCGCGACTGTAGCATTTCTTTTCTGTAATATCTTATTTTGTAAGGTATTTCCAATTTATTATTTATATACCCTTTTATGCACGGCAAGGTACGAATTAAAATCATTTTAGATTTAAGTATTACATTATTATAACTTTTTTTGATGAAGCAGTTGTGTATATCGTGAACGTTCAAGTAATATATGTATGTGTGAAAGAAAAGAAATAGAAAAGCAAAATCTCTTCTAAACTATTCTGGAACACAGTACTCATTTCAATGGGATGCTCGCACCTTCCATCTTTCAGTGACTCAAAGAAATAAATTTTTACAGTACATATTGATGTCTGAAACTTCATTATGGAGGGCTGCTTGCACACCCACTGATACAAGAATAAAGATCTAACCAGGTAAATTGTTTCTGTTTCGATAGTATGCTTTTTAAATGTATGATATTCATCAATAAGACTGAACTGAAACCAAAAATTACATGAAATGAATGTTTCTGGCTCTAAGAATATTTTGGTTCAAAGCAATGAAAAACGCGTATGAGTTTTAGCACGAGATTATCGCTTACTGTATGTTGAAATGCTTAAAAATCTTCATTCTTGCGTGCACCACAAAAGAGATCATGTTTTGCATATTCAAGTTTTGTTTAGAGTAGTAAAAAAAGTAGTCTTATTGTACAAAATGGTGATAGGGATCATTATCCAACAATTTCATAATGTAACGTTTGTGATATTAAAATAATAAGAAACAGCAAATTCGGCTGGGATTGTAAACAATATTTTATTAAAAAATATGGTTTTGTAATAATTTAAATTTAAAGGTATAAAAAAACAAAAGATTTTTCTCGATTAGTTACAAATATAAAGTTTACAAATCACTCTAGTTATGTTACATTTATGAGATTGTTGAACGAACTAGAACATGTCTCTAGTATAAGAATATACTGATGATATGATGTAATTGTCTGTATTAGCTTGTTAAAAAATCACTATGAGAAATTGTATGTTTTCAACATTGTATTCATAACTTTTGCCAACAAAACAATTCGTTTTGATTAATAGTAAATTATGAAGAAACAGAGAAGTTTTTTCATAACTACAGTATATTTCTAAAATGCATATAGGAAAAATGAAATATTTATGTTGAGTTCCAATAATCTGATTAGAGACTTAAAATGGTACAAATTACTGTAATCACTAAACAAAGTTCAAATAAGTAAGTGTTCATCTTCAAATTTGATTTACAAGTGGTTAAAATTGTAGTTTGAACATAAAATGTTAACTCTTACTAAGATTTTGAATCTCTACTTGGCTTTTTGAATTTCAATCGAATTTTCTTTAAATTCACGTAACAAAGAATAAAAGATGTATTGTTTACATAACTTTTAATTTGAATGTAATAATGCTTCCCATAAACAGAAAAAGATACACCATTAAAAAATGACAAAATCATAGACACTTTATTATATTTAAACTAGTAAAGTCAGAGTCTTCAGTTTTATTCATTAGTGCTCTTGAGTAACACACATTCTTTTCTATACAATGAGTTTCGGAAACGAAGCAGGCAATCCAAATAGGCAGGTTATACAGGCAGAATAGAACGTAATTTATGGCAGAAATAAAAATCAAACGACATAGTAATAAAACGAAGGATATAATAAATTTTGTAAAGTTTAGTATCTGAAGACAAAAACCTCACTATTTACTAGATAACAATTTTTATTGTTAAGTTATTTGTAAGAACGAACAGATACTTGCTAACAAAGATTTGCATAAGAAATTTCTGCTTTTAATTTTTAATTTACTGTAACACTTATCTCACTCGAACCATAATTTACATTCTATCTTGTATAACAAAGTTGTTCCTTGTTCCGTCTTCATATTTTGTTAACATTGACACATGTAGACATTTCCATAAAAACTGTAATTCTTAGGGATAATCTTTTCATGAATGATTCGTTACTTTTAAAGTAACTACATAAGAATTAAAAGGATATTACATACTTTACTAAGTATTCCTTTGCAACACAAGGTCGATGATGTTATTGTCATAGAATTCTGAAACTACAATAACTAATACACGTAATATTTATATGAAAAAGTAAATTCGACTGTAATTTTCATCTGAGTCATTTATGACACATTTAATAGCTGTTTCATTCTGCGAGGACATACGCTATAAAATATATAAAACATTTTTAATTTTCAGTTAAAATTTCATTTTTTCTATTAATTTGATACATGTCATTTTGTTATAAAATTAAAGTCTTATTACGAATAAGACTTTTCTCGTAATTAGAAAACAAAGAAAATTTAATCTACGTGTACGATCACATTACAGACGCTATACAGGGTAGCCCATATAAATACTTACAAGCTGTTTTTTCAAAAATTTCAAAAGATCAGTAAGTATTTTTCATTGTACCATCTTATGTCATGAATGTAACTTACCTTTCGGAACAAATACTTTTTAGAACGTTACGTAATCTTAATTCAACGAGTACTTTCAATATCATTAAACTTTCAAATTATTATACATAATATATATATATATATATATATATATACCGGTCAAAAGTTTGGGTCCACTTCACAATGTTAATGAAATGTTCAAAAAACCATGGTTTTCTTCGTTTATTATTTTTTATTATCAATATTTATGAAAAAGTAATCATTGTTTATACAAAATATGTCAACTCACAAAGAAACCCGCAAGTATTTATTTATATTTTTGATTCTTCGAAATATCCGCCTTTTGCTCGCATAACAGCAGCGCATATTCTGGGCATCCTTTCAATTAATTTATGCAATGATTCCGTCGTTATTTGATTCCAGCAATTCTGTAGGAACGTCCAAAGCTGTTTTGTATTAGTTGGTTGCAATTTTCTCACTTGTCTGTCCAACTCGTCCCACAGCAACTCGATCGGGTTACAATCCGGCGACTGAGGAGGCCATTCCATATATTTGAGTTCTTTCTGCTTCTCTTTGGCTGCGATATAATCCCGGCAAAATTTAGAAGTGTGCTTAGGATCATTATCTTGCTGAAAAACGAATCCGCGACCCACAAGTCTTTTTCCACACGGAAAAGCGTGCCGTTGAAGAATGTTGTGGTAGACTTTTTTGTCCATGATACCCTCAATGTTCACAATGTCACCAACAATGTCCCCAGCAAAGCATCCCCAGACTAACACTGACCCTCCACCATGCTTGACTGTGGGGATCACACATTTGTTAATCATGCGTTCGCCAACCAAACGACGAACATATTGTCGGCGTCGTTTGTTGAAAATTTCAAATTTTGATTCGTTCGTGAACAAGACTTTAGACCATTGTTCAGTTGTCCAATCTTTATGTTTCTTAGCCCAATTCAATCTTTTAACTTTGTTTTGCTTGCGTAGTAATGGTTTTTTAGCGGCGACGCATCCTGTCAAGCCATAATTTCGTAGACGTCGCTGTACCGTCGAAACAGATACTGGTGTTTCGCGCGCGGAGTTGAGTTGTTCGCGAATTTCGGGGGCTGTGAGAGAACGATTTTTCTTACTTACAACAGAGATGAACTTGTCCTCTTGTTTTGACGTAGTTTTAGGCCTCCCAGAACGATGACGACTCTGATTACACCCTGTTTCGCTCTTTCTTTGTAACGCTCTCATGACTGCATTTTTAGAAACATTACATTTAGAAGCAATTTTTCGCGTTGAATAACCTTCTTCATGTAGTGCCACAATAACTGCTCGTGTCTCTACACGCAGCTCTGCTTTTCGATCCATTTCTCTACGAATGAAACATGAAATATATAGTTTTATTCACATTTCAATAATGAGATGATATTTTTCGAATTACGTCAATTTACATAAAAATTTTTGTCGAACACTTACGATTTTGAATACGAAAAATGTTCTACTCAACTTTGTGCAAAGAAAAATATAACAAACAATTGGAAATATAACTCTTGGAGTGAGTTTTTGCAGCACAATGGTGTTACGCGTAATAGACACTAGACGCATCGATAGAATGCAACAAGTCATAACACGTGTATGCTCGATCTACGCGTCTCACAAGGGCGCCCTCTCCACTCTGACCAGTAGCAAGACGCACGTGCTTGACAAAATCCACTGAGTAGCCGACTTAATTGTGTAGAATTCAAAAATAAAGCAAGTGGAACCAAACTTTTGACCGGTAGTTACATGTATATATATATATATATCCCCTTCTGGTACTACCACGAGTCTGACTCGTACAAATTACGGGACACACATGAATACTTTAATTAATATTTAAATATCTTCGCAAAATGATACTGCAAGACAAATATACCATTTTATTTATGAAAGTCCACAAAATTTTTGGCAATAAATAGAAATCGATCAGTGTTAATAATAATGGCTGTACATAGTATGGTATGACCCACACATCATAATGAAACGAAATGTAGGGGGGAGGGGGTGGGAGAATCCTAAATATAAAGTTTTAGCTGCGAGTCTTAATTAGTTTCTGAGATATTAACAAAAAGTTTCAGCATAATACATTGAATTCTGTCTATACAGACGTTATTAATTACAAGTGTCTTCGCTCTAGAAGTCATCATCGTCAACTGTCGAATATGCGATTACGTAATTGAGCGGTTTTCACCGCTTGCGGACGATATAAAATGTGTGTAAAGTCCAAATTGGTTCCATGTGTTATTCATTTTCAAGCAACTCATAATGGAGCGACCATAAACATTTTAGATGTTATAGTCAGTTATATTTTTAACATTAAAGAAGAACAATTTGGATTTATGTGTAAACATTTTTTCTTCGCCTGCCTTGGCTCTCCCATGCCAGTTACAGAGAATCCTCGTTGAGTAATTAAATTTGTTTTTTGCCCGAAGCCCGAGCTTCGGTAACAAAAGCGGAGGAGCAACAAAGTACCTATACGCTTGACATTCGAACACTCACGTCAGTACCGAGGAGCCTTCACGCACTCAGCAAGGATTCTTGTACCTGCGAAACGGCCTGTTTCGCGAACGACTGCGCTGCGCACTTTAGCTTGGCGCCAGCGACATCACAGACGAGATATATAGGGTGTCCCAAAAATGTCCTCCGACCCGGAAATGGGGC